CAAATGTGGCCCAATTATCTTGTAACATATCTGGGCCAGTTTTGGCAAATATATGGCACAGTGGCACCAGCTCATCTGGATGTGAGCCAAAAGTGGCCCACATGTATTGTGGCAAATGTGGCCCAATTATCTTATAACACATCTGGGCCGGATTTGGCAAAGATATGGCTGAGTGACCACTGGCTCATCTGGATGTGAGCCAAAAGTGGCCCACATATAAAGTGGAAAATGTGGCCCAATTATCTTATAACACATCTGGGCCAGATTTGGCAAATATATGGCTCATCGAGAACTGGCTCATCTGAATGTAAGCCAAAAGTGGCCCACATATGATGTTGCAAATCTGGCCCAGTTATCTCAAAACATATCTGGGCCAGATTTGGCAAAGATATGGCTAAGTGACCACTGGCTTATCTGGATGTGAGCCAAAAGTGGCCCACATATAATGTGGAAAATGTGGCCCAGTTATCTTATAACACATCTGGGCCACGTTTGACAAAGATATGGCTCATCGAGCACTGGTACATCCTGAAGTAAGCCAAAAGTGGCCCACATATAATATTGCAAATGTGGCCCTGTTATTTCAAAACATATCTGGGCCAGGTTTGGCAAAGATATGGCTGAGTGACCACTGGCTCATCTGAATGTGAGCCAAAAGTGGCCCACATATAATGTGGAAAATGTGGCCCAGTTATCTTATAACACATCTGGGCCACGTTTGACAAAGATATGGCTCATCGAGCACTGGTACATCCTGAAGTAAGCCAAAAGTGGCCCACATATAATATTGCAAATGTGGCCCAGTTATTTCAAAACATATCTGGGCCAGGTTTGGCAAAGATATGGCTGAGTGACCACTGGCTCATCTGGATGTGAGCCAAAAGTGGCCCACATATAATGTTGCAAATGTGGCCCCAATATCTCAAAACATATCTGGGCCAGATTTGGCAAAGGTATGGCTGAGTGAACACTGGCTTATCTGGATGTGAGCCAAAAGTGGCCCACATATAATGTGGAAAATGTGGCCCAGTTATCTTATAACACATCTGGGCCACGTTTGACAAAGATATGCTCATCGAGCACTGGTAAATCCTGAAGTAAGCCAAAAGTGGCCCACATATAATATTGCAAATGTGGCCCTGTTATTTCAAAACATATCTGAGCCAGGTTTGGCAAAGATATGGCTGAGTGACCACTGGCTCATCTGAATGTGAGCCAAAGTGGCCCACATATAATGTGGAAAATGGGACCCAGTTATCTTATAACACATCTGGGCCACGTTTGACAAAGATATGGCTCATCGAGCACTGGTACATCCTGAAGTAAGCCAAAAGTGGCCCACATATAATATTGCAAATGTGGCCAGTTATTTCAAAACATATCTGGGCCAGGTTTGGCAAAGATATGGCTAAGTGACCACTGGCTCATCTGGATGTGAGCCAAAAGTGGCCCACATATAATGTTGCAAATGTGGCCCCGTTATCTC